TCACTTCCAGAGGCAGTTGGAAGCACTGTGTAACTGCCTCGAGGGTGCTTGACCATTTTAACACAACGTGGTGCGATCATCCCCCTTGCGCGGAGCGAGGGTTCTCGACCCCGCACAACATGATCTACTCGGCCACCATTCATGGTTACCGCCAAAAAAAAAACGGAGGTAAAAAAAAAAAAAACGGTAACCTGGTTGCCGAGTTCACGAAGTGAATTGGCTTGTTTTACAACGTCGTTGCCAAGCGACGAAAACCCAATCCCGATGGCAAACACGGGGGGGAACACCGGGGGGGGCGGCTTGTTTTACAACGTCATTGCCAAGCGACGAAAACCCAACCCTGGCAAACACGGACAGTGGGGGGGAGGGGGGTATATTGTAAAGGATTTAGTGTAGTATAGTATAATCTGTATATCGCATACTGTATAGAAGTAGGATTTAGTATTGTATACATAATTTGTACACCCGTCCTAAAAGCGTTTAGCCAAATGTACATTTATATGCAGATTAAGTGTGGTATTGTCAAACCTAAATATGATGCTCTATTGTATAGGATTTAGTATTATCACACATACCCTTTACATACACCTGTTAATATGTGTTGTATTGTACAGAATATGTTTCGTACGTAAACTTGTACACCCCGTGCGATACGCGTGTTGACGATGGTACATTTCTTGTTGATTTAGGCTGGTATTGTAAAACATATATATGATGCTCTATTGAATATGGATTTAGTGTGGTTAAACATACCGCTATTTTTATGTGGATTTAGTGCCGTACAGTTATTAAAGCTACTAGAAGTATATATAATGCTCTAGTGTAAAGGATTTAGTGCGGTCATACACTTCCTACTATGTGGGATTTATACCCCGATAATAAACTCTTGTTCAATGTATGGAATGTAGACTTTACTATTACACAGGGTTTCCTAGAATTTTTGGGGAAAGCGGGGATTTTTACTTAGCGTCCCCGTGGCGCAATGTATATATTTTCGGAAGATACCGTACAGCATCAAAGACCTCAAGCCTCCGCATATTTTGCTGTTTCACGGGCGGCACACGGCAATTCCTGCTGCTGTTGTTCACTTTCACTTCCACGGGATTTTATCACGTTGGCGCAGACCAAATTGGTGAGTTTAGGAGCCTTGATGGTATAAAAACGAACCCGTGAGCAGCAAAGCTATCGGCAATTTTTCTTTTAATTTGTCGAGACCCACCGTGTCCCGCCCCGGTTACCCGGGCGCTGAGGACACACCAACAACCAGTAGAAGCGCCCCCTTGTCACCACAATCTCGAAACGCGCACCAACCTACAACCCCCCAGCCACAGGCACAAACGAAGTGACCTTCGGTACAAGCTGGTCCAGGATCAAACTCTCCAGGATCAAACTCTCCAAATTCTCTAAAAAGGCTTGTCGGCGAACTTTTCAGACGGATCCCCAAATTTCGCGCACGAGTTCGAAAATGATGCGGCATCCGAAGGATGGATGTATATCTTGTTGCATTTGTCTTCGCAACTTGTCCAGGGTCCCAGCAGAATCATGATGAGGGCCATAGGGTCTATTATTATTATACCACAGATCAGGAACAAGCGGCCGATGACCGATCGATACGGATGATCGGTAATATGGGTAAGTGGCCGGTTTCGCAAATGAGCCATTTCGTAAACGCCGTTGGAAAAATAATGTCAATGGGGGCACGTGGGGGATGTAAAAATGAGATAAATTGGATGGAAGACCCCGGGGATGCCTTTCAAGCGTCCCCTACCCCGGGATACGGTGTCTTTTCCGAGGAAATTTGGTCGATTTTTGGGTCATTGTGCGTCCACCGCCCTGAATTTTTTCACTCCAGTTTTTTTCGTGTTTGATGAGTGTTTCAGCCAACCGAAAACACCCTTATACTTCGGTTTGGTCTTGTAGGAAAGGACACGAAAAAAAACAAGCTCGCAATATAGAACAGGGAAAAACATGGGAAAAAAAGGGAAAAAAAACGTATGGTAAAAAGACGGCGCTGCCGGGACTCGAACCCGCGTGTGAAAACTCGATGGTGAGCAAGTTTTAAACAGCAATTTGTCTATATCGGCCACTTATTCCTTTACTTGACGGAGATCGAAACTCGGCGTGGGCCATCACGGGTTACCCGAGTCAGCCGTGTCATCAGCAGTTCCACGTTTTCGATATTTCTTGCCGTGTTTGTTTCTTGGAAATATGGTGGGTGGCGGGATTTGAACCCGGTTTCTCGCCCTCAAAGATCAGACATTTTTTCGTGTGGAACAAGAGAATTGTCAACCGCCGGCTTTTGAGAAACTCTACATGTATCCTTCATGAAGAGGATCTCCGCACAGTCGTGAGTACGCGTGTAACCACAGCGAAATGGTAGACCATATTTTAGGCGAGCATTGCACGAGGAAAGGTCGAGAAGTAGTGCGTCAAACATATGGAGACTGGCGCCCAGAATCGTACATGGGACGGGAACATACATATTCTATCTGATGTCCTTGCCACGTTTTAACCTGAGTTAGTTGGAAGCATTTAACTGGACACACGAGGGAAACCAGCCCATACAGTTTTGTTGCAAGTACCACCTGACGACGCCAACAGCAGTTGCATCACGCATTTGCCACCTTGGGCATAACCACAATTAACACTATTTCGCCCTGCGTTGCATTCCCTGGAATATAAGAGGAGGCGCTACACTTCATAGAACGCAGAGGTTGAGCATGTGTCAAGTTGGGAATTCGTTGCTTTCATTCTGAGACCAGTCCAAGACCTCTGGGTGGCCGAACCACTATGATATCGCCTCCCCAGAGCCACTGCGAGGACCTTGTTGATGAACGCGAGCCTGCCACGCAAGGTGAACAAACGGTGTTCTTCGTCCCTGCTTCAAGGGGCACGAGGTCTGTGGCCTGGTGACTATGACATGCTGATCACAAACACCCCCCGCCCCCCTGCACCCCCTGCTGTGCCCCCACATGTGGCCCCCTCGCCCGAAACCATCACAGGAAGAAGGCGTGTCTGGTAAAGCTGGTGCGTCGAAAACATGACGGGTTTCTGCACAAGGCGTTGTGTTCGTGGAGGGACGAGACGAGGGACGCCGCGTACCTGGAGATGGTGGAGAGGGTAGTCACCAGAAACGCGCGCCGGAAGTTACTGCAGACGTGAGTCCGAGGAAGGGAATGAGTAGTGATGGAATAACCATGAAGTAAGGTGAAGTGGGGGCGGTGGGCTGTAGGAACGAACGGGATACAATCGCTACAAGGCTAAGCTATGGGCGTGTCTTGTTCTCACGTTGGTTGTCGGTTAGTCTCTTCAGAAGTCGGGGTCTAGGCAGGACGCGTTCAACTCGGCGTCTAATGTGTTGGAAATGTGCCGCATTCCTATGTCGACAGAGCGATTCTACGCTTCCGTCGAATTGGTCTGCCGCGCCCCCGGACGTGGTCTGGTTTCCATGGGAGTCCAACGTGTTTTCCAGACCCCCCTCCCCAGATTCGTTGTGACCGTGATTTTCCTCGGACCAACTTTGACTGAGTCTTCCCTCCTCTCTCTCTTGCCTCCTTCCAGCACAACACTCCCTCGTGCACGCACACACAGACCACCACGGTCATCCCCGCTGTATACTTTCCTCACCCCCCCGTGCAACCTCGCGCGGTGTCTTTTTCTTTTTTTCCTCGGAACCAACAACGCTTACAGAACCCTCAGAGCGTGGTCAGAAGGGGCAAGACGCCGCCGCCGCTTCGCCGCAACGTTCTGGCGGGCGGCGCGGGCGGTAAGGAGCCTCGAGAAGCGGCAGCAGCATGTGGCATTCTTGGCGTGGAGAGTCGCGGCCGTGAACGAAACGAGGAGAGCCGCTGACATATCGGGCGCTTGCGCGAGGTTGAGGGCCGTCCGGAAGCGACCAGGTGAGTTCACATAGAACGGGGTGGGGACAAACGATGGGCACTCTGCTGGGTCCTTCGCCACGTTGGTACATAATGCGCCCGACAGGCGGCATTGCCTTTTGCAAGGGGAGCGGAAAGGGGCTAACTTTACGGTTTAATTGCTTTTTGTCTTGAACCCTCAACTATGGATAGAGATTGATTCGTTATGTTATATTTAGAAAAGGGGGGCGAGGGGGGGCAGCAACGAATGTAAGGTGTGGACGATCGAACGGTTTAGGTACCTTGGCCACTTTGACGACAATTAATCTCACCAAGGAAGCCCGGACTTCAACGTCGCCAGCTCGTTCCCCCACCCCCTTCCAATCTCCAACACAGAATGGGTGGTTTCTTTGTGCCACATAGTCCCAGCGAGGCGTGACACCAGTGGCCACCTCTGGAAGTGGCGACCAGAAATTTGCAAGATCAAGTTAGTGTGGATTGGGCGGAGGACCCTTATCACGAGGCAGCTCTCACCTCCGACTTGCATATTACATCTTGGCGCTTCGCGCTTGGTGATCGCGAGCCTGGTCCGGCGAAAACCCAGCGTGCTCCGTTCTGGCATTGTAGAGATGTAAAATTAATGGTCTGATAACGACGGCATACTGAAAATGAGTACTCCCCCCCCCCCCCCCCCCCCCCCCCCCCCCCCCCCCCCCCCCCCCCCCCNCCCCCCCCCCCCCCCACCCCGCCGCTCGTTGATGCGCAAAACACAACAGGACGGCTGCAACTGGCCAGCTCCTTCAGCATCTGGGCCAGGCTCTCCGCCGCTTCCTCCCACTCGGATCGCCACGCCGAGATCGCCGCGTGCGCGAAGCGCCAAAGAGCCGTCCGAACGTGCTTCTCCACCCTAAGGTCCAACGCCTCGCTGCGCCAAAGGACTCGCCGGGCCCTCTCCTCCCTCGACCGGCGCTGCAGCCTGAGCCAGCTGGCGAGGGGCTGGGGCGCCATGCTGAGGGCGGCGGCGACCGCTTCCGCGGAGAGGCGGTCCGGCTTGAGGCTTAGCAGGGCGGAGGCGGCGGTGGCGGCGGGAAGGCTGGCGACGAGAGCGAGGGCGCACCGAACGGCCCGGAGGCTGCTCGGGGTGGCGAGAGGTCGCGCCGCCCTCGAGGCGTTCGTGGCGTGGAGGGGGCTCGTGAGGGAGGGGAGGGGCGCGCGCTTGGGAGCGGCAGCGCTGGCGGCAAGGTGTGTTTTTTCTGGTGGGGGGGAGGGGGGTGGCGAAGGGCAGCGGCTCTGAATGTGGACCGAACTTGGGGGTGAAATTCGGGATGTCTTGGTTTTCTGGGAGGAACTGTGGATTCACGCGTGAGCGCTCCTGCCAGGACCCTTTGTCTCCCCGCTGGTCGGGATGGTCGAATGCCGCGTAGAGCTATGAAGTATCACTCCTCGTCCCCTATCATGGCACCCATACCTTGTACCCCGGCCCCTACACCTTGCCCCCGCTGATCGTTCAGCATGCCCATGCTGGTCCTCCGACCCCCTCGCGCTGGTCCTGACTCCCCCGAGCCCCCCCCCCCCCCCCCCC